TCAGCAACAATTAAGGACAAAAATATATAAATAAAAGGTGTTTCATTAAGATGGATTATATATAAGGGTGTTTCATTAAGACGGATCAAAGTCAGCAGTAAATAAATCAGTGTTATTGGTGAAAATTTATTTATTTCTCTATTGGATCATGTTATTTAAGTCATGGCAGTTATATGTTAAAAATAATATCGCCCAAATATCCACCAAATCTGAAAGAAAAAGAAGAAAATCATTAGACACTTAAACTTAATTCACATTTAAAATTGGTCCAAATTATTGGAACACCCTTTATATGCACAATGACTTCAGAGAGGGAGAAAAAAATACTACCAGAGGTTTTGTGCACATATTTATATATTTTTGTCCTTGATTGGCTCTGAAGAGTGAGGAGTGGCAATTACATGTGCTATTCATTTTAGTTGTTGCTACTGTTGAAACTTTTCAAGTTATGGAGGTTTTTGTTATCTGGTGCAGTTCTTTCTTCATGATTCTGTAGTGCCAGTCCAGGAGCATGGTGCTACAGGCTGAATTCACTCAAAACCAGTGTTATTAGTGAAAATTTATTTATTTCTCTATTGGATCATGTTATTTAAGTCATGGCAATTATGTGTGAAAATAATAGCGCCCAAATATTTGCCAAAAAACTGAAAGAAAAAAAAAAAATTATTAGACACTTAAACTTAATTCATATTTAAATTCAAACCAAGCTATTGGAACACCTATATATATATATATATATATATATATATATAAAAACAAATTTCAAAATAAAAATCTACTTTTACTACCTTCTTATAGTTCTTGATTGTAGCTTTATTAGTAATTATACTTTCTTTTCTCAGATTCTCTTGATGAAAATAACCCAAAATGTAATGAGGAAACTAGTGTTGCTAAAAGTTTACACAAAGCTGAAGTGTTTGAAACTTCTTAAGTTACTATGGCTGGCTGAGGACAGCGACAATGTTACCATTTTGCTTGCCAGCCATGCTACTCTGCAGTTCAGTATCAGCATTGAATCATACTTTCTTATCTGTCTATATTTTTTAGATGAGGTATTGTAATTATTTACATTGTTTGGGCTGTTGTCCTCATCTTTATTGCCATATTCACAGGGTTTTGACCTTCTTCAGGTGATCGGAATTTTAAACTGAACCCTTTATTTCATCCATAGGGGGGTAGACTGTTCTAGTTCCATGTGCCATGCCTCTTCCAGATGTCTCATTTATCTCCCTTTAACTAAACTCAATTTCCTTCTCTCCTATACTAAATTTGTTTATAACTGATCCATACACTATGGAATGGCCCCATCAATTAGAAAGATTTTCACAGACAAGTTATTCTAAAATATAAAAAGTAAATTTTTTTTTTTAAGCGTTTCACCCCAAGCAAGACGGGGAGCCACTAGCATGCAAGGGGTTACAGAGAGTTGGAGCTAGACCAAATAGGAGTGATAGTGAAAGGATGAAGAGAAGGATAGGGGATAGATCAGAGCATCTGGAGATGTCGATTGACATTACACTTGAATAGTTGGAGATTATAGCTATCAAGGAAACAGGAAGATGGGAGGGAGTTCCACAGGCGAGAGGTGTGAGACATGAATCTATTGGAGTAGAATAGATGGCTACATTTAACAGTTTCGACAGTGAAAGGGTGTGAGCGAGATGCCAGCCTAGTAGAATGCTTAAATTCATGAAGTTTGGGAACCAGCGAAAACAGCTCCTCGGCGCAGTTACCATGAAAGTATTTGTAAAAAAGACAGAGGGAGGTGATGGCACGTCTGTGAGAGAGCGACTGCAGACGAGATGCCAGATCAGGGCCAATTACGTTACATATCTGTCACTGGATTTTATCAAGAACCTCGAGACAAACATTAGAAGAAAGATCATTGCCAAAGAAAGGAAAGACTTTCAATGCCAGTTATTACAAGATTTGAAAGTTAAAATAATAATCAAACTCACAAGAATGACAAAGGAAATGAAGAAACTTCTACAGCTGATCACTGAAAACGTTAATTGTTAAAATCTGATATTGTGAGAGAAAAATGTCCAGGTGTAAGAGTATTTTTTATAAGGAATATTTTCTCTGGTAAACATTCTCAGAAATCAAAGATAATACTTTCATGAAATGCATATTATTTTTTTTTTTTAATAAAATAAATTATTTAAATGTTTTAGTAACTTTTTTTTTGTATTTATCATTTGCATTAATCATTTTGTGTTCCATTTCCTCAATTCAAATGATACACACACCATTGTTTTTGTCAGGTTGTGAAAGGTTCAGGGGTGAGAATTTGACCTTGTAAAAATATTCAACTCATCCACAAAGAAAAAGGAAAGGAAAAGAAACAAAGTGTAAATCAAAATTTTTATTTCCTAGAAATTACTGAGTTCAGTTTCTTTTTATGAAAACAGTTTTTCAGAAAATAGACACAGGAAAATCTTTTTAATAACTCCCCTTACTACTTTGACTCGGACTGTTACATCAACTATTATTTGGAATGACTGCCTGATACATTGTCATTTTGTATATACCTGGTATGCACCTGTAATAGTGAACATAAGAATACTCACAAATGTTAAGAAATATAGTCAGCTCTATTGGAAAGTGTGTTACTTGAAGTGTCTAAAATTTCTAATGACTTAATAACTTGTTATGGGACCTTACCCATAATAACGTACGTAATAAATACTGCGCCTCAAGAGAAAGCAAGGAGTTCAGCCTGAAGTCTGGAGTGAGGTCTGTCAGGAGTCTGTCAGTCAGTCACAGCGAGTCAGTCAGTCGAGTCAAGAGTCGAGTCAGAGGCAGTCCGAAACAGAGTCGCGTGCAGACAATTACTACAAGACATTGGAATAGTGATACTAGTCAAGACTACATTGTTTTCCCTACTAAACCTGATTGTTTGTACTAACACTTTCTACTTCTCTGTATATATTCCAGTTTGTAATATATCTGTGTTATTCCGTATCCATGTTCATGTTCTTCTTTATTGGTTCTACCTTGGACTATCACCATGGTACAAGGACTTGGACCATAACATAACTACATATGCTTAAAAGTTAAATAAGATTAATAAGTTGATATATATTTTAAATGTTGTGTAAATTGCATGGGTATTGGTAGCAGTCTGTAAAAATGGCCATGAGTGGTAATTTTTAAGTCAGACCATGATAGAGGAAGTAGTATTAGAAATAAGTCAGTGTCAATCTACTGTGTTTTTCTCAGCCTTAAGCAGGGCAGAAATATAATTAGCAAATGACTTCTTAATTGCTTCTCATGCATCATGTATGTCTGGTAGTGTTCTTTTGTTCTATCCTCTCCTCATCACCTCTCCCTTTAGCCTAAAGGTATCCTTTTGACTAGGATAGAGAATCTGGAGAGAACATTGGTTTCGGCTAGCATCAAAAGACTCTTTGTGTCAATTTTTCGGACTAGCCCAAATTATTTTATTTTCCTTTCTTCTCCATTTTTTTATAATGGAAGTTATGTGTGAAGCTTCCCTGATTTTTGGTAATTTTTAGTGCCAAATAAGTAGGCTCCACTCCTGCAAACCTCTGGTGTTTTTCGACCGAGATCAGTCTTTTCTTCTTTCTCTTTCTATTTGAGACAGTTCCTTTTCATTAGTTGAGAGAAAAGTATAGAAAGAGAAGTTGAGAGAGAGAGAGAGAGAGAGAGAGATGGTTAGAGAGAAAGGAAGAGATAAGGGTTTTAAAGGAAAGCACAAATGCCTTATTTTAATTTGAATTCCTTTTATTTTGTTTATATATTTTATTTTTATCAGGACTCACTACAGCACTTTCAAGTTTATTTCAGTTTATTTGAGGGTTGCCTTCTCGTAGGTTGAGAGAGAAGTATAGAAAGAGAAGTACAGAGAGAAAGAGAAAGAGAGACAGAGAGAAAGATAGAGAGAAAGAGAGAGAGAGAAAAGAGAGATAGAGAAAGAGAAAGTGTAGAAAGAGGTTAGAGAGAGAGAAAAAGGAAGAGATAAGGTTTTAAAGGAAAGCACAAATGCCTTATTTTAATTTTAATTCTTCTTATTTTTGTTTATATATTTTATTTTTATCGGGACTCACTACAGCACTTTCAAGTTTATTTCAGTTTATTTGAGGATTGTCTTGTAGGCTGAGGGAGAAATATAGAAAGAGAAGTACAAAAAGAGAGAGAAAGAAAGATAGAGAAAAGGATAGAGAAAAAGAAAGTGATAAAAAAAAAAGAGAGAAAAGAAGAGAGAAAGAAAGAGAAGTATAGAAAGAGAAGGTTAGAGAGAGAAAGGAAGAGATAAGGGTTTTAAAGGAAAGCGCAAAGGCCTTATTTTAATTTTAATTCTTTTTATTTTTGCTTATATATTTTATTTTTATTGGGACTTACTACATCACTTTCAAGTTTAAAACTTATCACCAGTTTTATTCATCAATATGTGTGGCATGTGCGTAATGAAGTATATAAACTCTTTAAACTTTGATTTTATCAATGAATGAATTTTGTATGCAAATATTTTTATCAGAGAATATGAATGTAAGTTGTCATTTCAGGTGAATGAATAAAAATGAAAAGAGAGGACTTGTGATTCAATAAGAATGAAACAGAACAACATCTCTTGAAAGAAGGACTTCTTCTTCCTCTTCTCAGATTGTAAAGGTCATTTATTGGATGTAAGTATTCCCCAAATCTAATCATCCTTGCCATTCATAGAGAGGAATAAGTCATTACTCTATAGCATTGTCCCAATGCATGTTGGTAGGTGCAGATGTGACACACTTGGGTGATCAAGTCTCTTTACGATTCATGATTGACTTGGCAGAAGAATTCCTGCAGGAGACTACTGTTACTTTCTACAGTAATCTGGTTGCCAACCAATGTTTCAAAATCAAATCTGTCCTGCTATTTGGGAAGAGAAGAACTGGATTCATACCCTTCTCAAGGGTTATTTGTGTGTAAGTTAATGTAACAAACTTGACTGGCTCTCCAATGTCATTATCCATCACACCACTGACACATTCAAGCTTACAGCAGCTGGTACCCCCAAGTGGACACATCTAAGTACTGACCTGACTCAATATTGCTTTACTTTGGTGATCAGACAAGAACTGGTGTTTCAACATGATATGGCTGTGAGAGAAGGACTAAACTGCTTTAAACAGATGTAAGGATACAAAAGGTAATTATCTCCCTTTTTACAAGACACATTGACTTATGTCCTAAATGTCTCTGGTGGTCATGTGACAGCCTGCAAGTGACAACAACCCATGGGTGGCAATAATGAATTGCTAATTAGCTCCTGAGGGAGACAGATCTGGTAACTGGTGGAAATAACCAAATACCATATATCCTAAATCAGGAAAATAAAAGATATCCCCAATGTTGGCCAAGAAATGGTAAAGTCAGACTTTCTTTATCATGTTACTTGATTTTTTTTATATGTGCTATAATTTCTCTGTATGGAACAAATTATGAGAGAATATATATATATATATATATATATATTTTCAACTCTCTCGTTGTATTCAACATATGAGGGTCAAGTAACTCAGTTCCTAGGAACCAACATCTCAACACCAGCACATATGATTTGATTATAGTAGTGAAGGTTTTGTGCCGAACCATCCACACTTTTTGAAAGGCCGAATACAGAGACCTGCTGCACTATGTGCCACAAGGTCCTCAAACGACCATCTGCAGGTTTTGAATTCAGAGTTGTCCTTCTCCTAGACCAGTTGCCATCCAAGGCTATAGAATCCAGTCTGTCCTGCTATTTACCCATAGCTGGAGGGAGAAGAAGCAGATTCATACCTTTCCCAAGGGTATTAGCACATAAATGAATTTAATGGATTTGACTGGAATTTGAACTCAGCTCTCTGATTCCTCAATACAAGCCACTATCCCATTACTCCACCGTGCCTCCTCCATCCTTATATATAAGATTAATACGAATATAAAATTTATCAGTTAGCTGATTGATGTTATATTCAGCACCCCTATATACATTGCATTTCAAATTATTAATGAGGCAACATTTTTCCATACTATATAAAAAATATTGGTTGGAATTTAACAAAAAATGTGTATATACACCTACTCTGTAAAATTGTAATGTTCTAGAAAAAGGAACGGAAGTTAAAGCCATTTACTTAATTTACTTAAATTATTAGTTTGTCAAATTATTAGTGAGGTGTAATAAAAACCCTTGTAAGAAAAGAAAATAACACTTTAATTGTTTCATTTACAGATTTTTATGGATACATACAGTAACTAAGATGAAATTAAATTGAAATAAAAAAGTAAACAGAGTTCAAAAAGGATAGTGGAATTGGTTTATATGAGATATGTGATCCTTTTTTTTTAAATTGACTAGAAAAAGTGTTGATCCATTGAACATGTCAATTTCTGGATCTCCTATGATGTAATTTCATTTGATATGTTGACTATTTCCTGTCATAAGTCATGCTTGCTTCTAAATTGGCGTCCATTCCTATAAACACATTGCTTCAGAATGCTCCACAAGTTTTCAGTTTGGTTTAAGTCTGGAGAACTGACCAGCCAGTTCAACTTCCAAAGCCCACAGAAACCTAATTTCTGCAGGTATTTGGTAGTTTTATGTGCTGAAAGCAAAGGAGCATTATCTTGCATAAATACAATGGTTCTCCTGAAGTTGATTCTTTGCTTTTTTAGCCAAGATTCCAGGTGGTCTTTGAAGAAGGCTATATAAGCTGTTATTTTCATGCCATCAGTCACTCTCCATGGACCAACCATGATACCGCCAATAATAGCAGCTCAAATCATAATACTTCCTTCTCCTTGTTAGCATGTCCATTTACAACCTAACCTTTTCTCCAACCATCAGGGGCATCAAGTGTTGCATGACTTTCATCTGTGAACAGAACTTTTGAAAAATCAACCTTCATGTTCTTTGCCCATTTCAAGTGCATTTGTCTGCGTACAAATCAAGGCTTTGTCACTGGTCTCACTGATGTCCTAGACCTTTTTCAGATGATGATAGCGAGTACTTCTGGACACTGTTCCTTCTCCAATGCTCCTGAAAAGTGCTCCACTGGTCAGGCCAGGGTTATTTACAGCTTCACATTTCATTTGTGTAAAAGAACGTTGGGAAGCAACCCTTGAGTGACCCTTATTGACCCTTTTACGTATCTTCATAAGAGCTCAAATAGATCTTTTCACAGTTTGGTGATATCTTCGATTTATTTTGGATATTTCTAATGTAGATTTGGAAAGTTCAGATGTTACAATATCTTTCTCAGAAGAGGTCAAGTCACATTTGCGATGCACAATTGCACGATTATAATGACACTCGTTTATAGTCTGGAACACTTCTATACCATGTTAATATTGCAAGTGGCCACCATTTGTTTCATGTTGTGCAAAACAATACAGTTTGTATACAGTCTGTACATATATCTATTCCCATTATACTGTGAATATTTTGTTAAATCCTGATTGGTAGTTTTTAGACAAAATGAAAAAAATATCACCTCATTAATAATTTGAAATGCAGTATATATATATATATATATATATATATATATATATATATATATAGAAAAAAATATACGGAAAAAAAACAAACAAAAATCCTAATATGCAATTATGCTGTTTTAATGTTAATATAATGTCAACGTCGGACGTTTCGGTCTAATAGAGCATCTTCAGGACATATTCATAAAACATAATTAACATCGTCTTTTCATGTTGAATTGAATATGGTCTATGTTAATTATGGTTTTTTTTTTTTTTTTTCAAAAATTTAAAAATAAATATAAATAATAATAATTTTTACCTATCATAATTTTACACAAACCCCACCACACGTATATACATACATGCGAGGAAATATTTTTCAGCGGAAAAATACATAATATGACATGTATACATTCACGAGACATTAACGAGACATTTCTGCCGCACTTCCAATGTTTAAATTTCAACATTTCAACATACAAATGCGTATGTATAGACATAACACCACCCATATACATACATATGTCATAGCCGAAGCAGCCCACATATGTTTATATATGTATGAGTCCCGACGGACGACCAAGTATGTATATGTGTCTGCATACATCGATGTTTGCATTAGTACGATGAATGACAAAACGACGAAATTTCCCCCACCACTTCCACAATAACACCAATACATGCAATCTACATAAACCCAAATTTTTTAAAACATTAATCAGTTTGTCTGATGATCGCTAAAGCGTGAAACCCAGGGTCACAAACTCACATCTATCCAACCAAATATATATATATATATATATATTTCTTGAATATTACTCAGGTTAACCGAACCGAACTTTGAATTGTGGCATTGGCTGATAAAACAATGACATCCCTGCTCTTGTATATATACACATGCAACAAAATGTCCAACATTTCCCTTGATGAAGACCCTCAGAGTATGAAACTTATCTAAGAATTGTTTTTCCTCTTTTCTTTTTATTCATTTTATTCCTTTACAGATACACTCTATGTGAAAATAATTACTTATATATATATATATCTGTGTGTGCATGTGTGTATGTGTGTGTGTGAATTGGGAACAAATACAGATCAAATATGGATCAGAGTCCAACAAAATAATAGGATCAAGAACAAATAAGAAACATTTATAAATCTAACATGTTTCAGTTTTATTAAAGTTTTATCAGAGAATGAAATATGGAGGAGAAAAAAAAAGAAAAAAAGATTCTGGTAATTTTAATTTTTATGAAAACTATTTTTACTCATAAATTTATAAACATTTACTAAATTATGAAAATATGTGAACCAATGATAAGAAAATCATTATTATTTACCATTTTATAAAGTGTGAATCATTTGGCAATTAGCCAATGTTTTGCCAACCATTCCAATAAACAATCACATGACTTGTAATTTTATAATCACCTTGAACTGATGTTCACCTTCTATTAATTTTTAGTGCCTTTGCCAGGATCCTCTTTTTACACAAACATTTTATTTACACAGACTAAGCCGATTCCTAACTTGTTATATATCCTCTTAATATATAATGGTTGGTGGAGGTTATCTTATGACAACATCCGTTCCCACCATAGCTTTATTATGGCCTTGTGTAAGGACTAAAAAAATTGCATAGTGTTAATATATACAAAATTTTGGCAAACATGGACCTTCACGCCTGCAAAAAGATATAGTGTCAAAAAGGACAGTTTTTCCCATGACACCACATTTTTAACTACCTTCACTCTTCAATAGTGTTCATTGTTTTAAAAAGTGATGATTAGAATTGTAATAAAACTTAACCATATGATTAAAGTGAATTTATACATTTTTTATTTGTTCTTGAGAATTTACAACAAAAATATTAAAAAACTATTTGTTTATTTACAAGAATAATTTTATATTTACAACATTCTAAAAACTAATGCAATATTTATCATTGACCAAAGAAGCAAATATGAAAAAGAGATTTTTATTCATAAATTTATAAACATTTACTAAATTATTAAATATGTGAACCAACGATAAGGAAATCCCTATTACTTAACTATTTTAACTATTTTATAAAATTCAAATCAATCGGTTATTCACAGATTCCTACCATAGATCTGTTATAACCTTATCAAAGGACCGAAAGAAAAATGCCTAGTGTTAATATATACAAAATTTTGGTAAACATGGACCTTCATGCTTGCAATACGATATAGTGTGAAAAACTTGTTTTTATTCATGACACCATTTTGATTTTAACCACCTTTTTGGCAATGTTTATTATCTTAATTGTGATAATTAGAATTGTAATAAAACTTACACATATGATGAAAGTGAATTTATACATTTTTTATTAGAGGATTGGCATAGAATTAAAATGCTTGAAGATTTTTGGTAGCAAGGAAACAAGAAAGTGGAAGAGAGCTCCACAGGAGAGAAGTGTGAGAAAAGAAACTATTAGAATAGAACATAGTTACATCTAGCTAATTCAACAGTAAAACATTGAGACCTAATTGCCAATCTAGTAGCATGCTTAAATTCATGCAGTTGAGATGCTGAAGAGGAAGGAATAATTACTCTGAAAATATTTATAGAAAAGAGAAAGCAAAGCCTCATTACAGTGGTGGGAAAGTGACAAGGTG